TAATTTTTATGTGTACATTATTTTTTTTTTTTTTTTTTGAACATAGGGGAATTTTTGGGGGAGAGGGGATTAGAACCAGGGTCATAACCTTGGAATATACACACCCTATCAACTGCATCAAGTGCTGCGGGTGTAAAAAGATAACTAAAATGGTTAAGGCTTTTATCCAAAAAATAATGGAGTCTAAATAATGAAGTCTCTGTCTCAACTTTCTTGCAAGTGAACTTCGAGGTTCAGATATCCGACGGCTGACACTCCGATGAGAACTCACACTCCACCGCCATCCAAAACCCCTCAATCCCAACCTGAAGACGACCCTGACTCAGTCATCCGCCCTCCCCTCACCCCCGTTCCCGGCCACCGCAAGAAAGGGACGAAAGGGACGAAAGGGACTGGGATCAGGCCATGGTTGTTGCTGGATTCGACCGGTCAACCCCAGGTGGTGGAGGCGGGAAAGCACGCAATCATGCGCCGCACGGGTCTTCCCGCCCGTGATCTTCGGATACTCGACCCACTTCTCTCGTACCCTTCAACGATTCTGGGTCGAGAGAAGGCAATCGTGATCAATTTAGAGCATATAAAGGCAATCATCACTGCGCAGGAGGTCTTGCTGTTGAATTCTAAAGACCCTTCTGTTGCACCCTTTGTTGAGGAATTGCAGAGACGGCTTCAGTGTCATCATCATGCCACCAAAGCCCAGGTCTTTTAACCATTTCTTTTGGGAATTTAAGTTGGAATTGAAATTTTTGTTTGTGCGTTTTGATGCTAGCTTATTAAATATCTTGTTTCTTTTTTTCCTTTTTGGAAATAGAAGATATCGTTGTCCCAGTTCATGATTGACCCATTTTTACTATTGCTGAAACGGTTATTAATATAACAGCAAAATTGTTTGGTTGATAAGAAAAAGTTATGTATTGATTATACTGGAGATTCATCTGTTTGACCTCCGTGCATGCATGTAGGAAGCCAATGCTGATGATTCGGGCTGGGAGAGTTTATGTAGGCATGAACAACAATCAAGGGCAACTAGCCCTCAAAATTCTTGTGGAAGTTCTCCACGGTTTCAGAGTCAAGATAAGGAAGGTAAGGCAAATGAGAAACAGGATCTAGGGAATCGAGATGGATCAAAGGTGCTTCCCTTTGAATTTGTTGCATTGGAGGCTTGCCTCGAGGCTGCTTGTAGCTGCTTGGATAGTGAAGTGAGGCTCCTTTCTCTAATTCCACATAGTTTCTATTTAAAACACTTTTCACCACAATGTTGTTTGTTTTCCATCATGCTCACTCTTATGTTTTGCTCTTTCTTTCTGTTGTTCCACGCCAGGCAAAAACATTGGAGCAGGAGACTCACCCTGCCTTAGATAAATTGACTTCAAAAGTTAGTACCCTCAATTTAGAGCGCGTACGCCAAATCAAAAGCCGCCTGGTTGCAATTACTGGACGTGTTCAGAAGGTTGACTAATTTTAAACTTTTTGAGATGTGCACCATCGCTTTTATTTACCTTCTAGATGGTTTTCTGACTTCATGGCCTCATGGTTGCACTTGCACATTTAGAATTCAGATGACTATATGACATTAATTGAACAATGCTCTAATCTGTAATTAGATCTGTTGGCTTTCCTTGAATTTTCCTTTTTTGCACTCAAAGCAGAAAACTCACATATCTGTTCACCTTCAGGTAAGGGATGAATTGGAACACCTGCTAGATGATGATGATGATATGGCTGAGATGTACCTAACTGAGAAGCTGGCTCAACAACTTGAAAATTCTTCCACCTCCTCTATGAATGAGGAAGAAGATGTGGACAATGAAGTTCATCAGTCAGACATGGGTGACAGGTGAAGTCTTTCTTTCTTCTTTTTTTTTCAGTTCACCTAAGCAGTGCAAAGGAGTTCAAAGCTCCAAGAAAGTTGATGATCCATCTATGAATCCAATTTTTACAGAGTCATTGTTATTCCCTTTCCTTAAATGGTTTATGCCAATTGGCATTAACTGTCCACTGGTTAACTGCCACTCGATAACCACACCCAGTTATAGATAGCAAAGCTGACTGACAAATTTAGTGGGTTTATGCTCATGATCAAAGAAAGTACAAATGGGCATGCAAGCATATGCACAGACACTTGTAGAAGTTTAGAACATGCTTAGAAACTTTTTCTAATTAAGTCTTGTTAGGAAAAAAAGAAGAGTTTAGGCAGTGCTTAGGCACCACTTGGGTGCCACTCGGCGCTCTAGGTGTTTTTATTTTTCTGAAAAAAATGCCATAATAAAACAAAAATTTCTAAAAAATAAAAGAAACACCTATCTCCACCATGGAGTGCCTAGGTGCCGCCTGGACATGTTTTTCACAACACTGAAAGATGATAAAGTTCTTCAAGTCAAGTCTCTTGGAGGAATAAATTTTAGCTAACCCAGCACAAAACTTGGAGTGAAGATTTCTCTCACATTTTGACAAGCAAAATTAAACCAAAGGGAATCTCATCTTGAAGGAACTGACCTTTAATCAGTAATCAGAACACTTGGGCATCTGAAAAGCACAGAAACTAACTGTTTGGAATATCAAATTGAAACTCTCTCATTTTATATTCATCCTTAGTGTGGAGTCCATGGATAAAATTTCTGTTTAACAATCCCCAAATAACTTAACTACTAATTCTCATCAAAGGTTCTCTTTATCAGTTGTTTTGGTTTGCAACCACCTATTTCTAATTTCTTTTCTTTTTATTGTACCAGGACTCCTGCTGAAATTTCTTTGGCAGCTGGTTATGAAGGTGAGCTTCTTGGGAAGGACAGCCATGTGAGCCATACTAGCACCACTCGAAGTGCTATAAGTAAGGAGCTTGATGTAGAAGAGCTTGAAATGCTCTTAGAAGCATACTTCGTTCAAATTGATGGCACATTGAACAAGTTATCTACGGTATGGTGCTTAATTTATTAGATAAAGTTTACTAGTTAAATTTTATCAGTACGAGCTATATCTTGTCCTAATTGCATGCATCTGGACTTGCTTTAGATAAATGTCGGTATGCTAAGAGGAAGACCATGGTATTGAAAAGTTTTTAGTTTGTTAGAACTGGTTAAAGCCAGTTGTAGGGGAACCTTAGCCGATCCCAAACCTTTGGGCTCTATCAATATAATTGAAGTCTTGAACCATATGATACACTGATTAACAGAATTATCTTCAATAGATGTAGCATGCAACAAATGCTTTGAATTTCCTGATAACTTGTGATTCAGCTGTAATGCAAGGCATTAATTTCAACAGTAGGCGGAGTTATTGAGACCAAAGAAATGCCTTCTCACGGTGACTAAGTTGTCTGAAAAATGTAGGGGCAATTAAATTTGAAGTTTGCAAAATGTATGATCAGACTCAAATATTGATTCCATGTTTCCTATCTGTTTGGAGAGGTTGCATTTTCAAAGGTGTTGCTTTATTGATGAGAAACAATTAGAATTATGTAGCATTTAAGATTTAGAACTATTCTGTGGAAGACACTTATTTGGCACTCATGACTTCCTTTTTTCAGTTTTGATCTTAAAGAATTGTCAACTTGAGAAAAATAAAGTTATATATGCACTTCTAACATTGGTTGAAACATTTTGCCTCGTCATATGGACTTATGTAAATAAAATCTAGTTATCTTGAGCCATTCTCTCATTACCATTATTGACATTTTTCTTATTTTTGACTTGTCTATTTCTTGGAAGCTGAGGGAGTATGTCGATGACACAGAGGATTACATTAACATAATGCTGGATGATAAACAAAACCATCTCCTGCAGATGGGGGTCATGTTGAGCACAGCGACACTTGTACTGAGTAGTTTTATTGTGGTGGCTGGTATTTTCGGCATGAATATCCATATTGACATCTTCGATCAAAACAGTGCAGGAATGTCACACTTTATGTGGACTGTCGGGGGAAGTACTGCTGGCTCCATATTCCTCTATGTGTGTGCTATTGCCTATTACAAGAAAAGGCACTTGATAGAGTAATTAAGACTATCTAGATCTATTATCTTCTGAAGACAAGTAAAACTGTAACCATCAAACGCTACATTTTACATTGTGCTACATTCTTACTGTCAAATATATTGTACCCGTTAAATCTGTCCTGTTGTAAACCTTCTATGTTGCAACTATATTGATACACGGGTTTACCGGTTGATAAAGCAAAAGCCATTGCAGTTCTGGCTATCTCCATTGATTTATTCTTCTATAATGATTCTGTTTTTATCAGTATGGATTGGAACACTTGTACTTACAGTGCACCAACTAATAGAAAAAAAAAAAAAAATGGCGTTCCAAAAAACCTCTAATGTATGGGAGATGACTCTCAGTATTAGAAACCCACTCTTCGTCAAATATGATTTATGTTGTATAATTCAATACAAACTGTACAATTTATTTTCTTCTATAACTTTAAAAGGGTTGGATAATGAAATTGGGAAAATGACAACCCATTTCTCCTCCAAGGAGAAAAATGTAATTTGAGCAGACGATGTCTGTGCAAATGAGATAAACCAAAAGAACCTCATCTTCTTCATAAACTAGTGGCTCTGCGTATGCTCGTCTCAGAAACAGAGAACTGTAAATGTTTACTAATGGCTTCAATATCTCAAAGCATATTAATGGCACTCACTGTTACAGTGAACAAGTTTGCTTCATCCAACGTTCATGCAGTTCACAGAAAAGAAGCCAAAACGCCACCAACAGCGAAAACAAAGATGGCAACCACCAATGCTCCGCCAATAACAGCAGCTGTGGCTGCCAACGATATTGGAAGGAGAGGGCTAATTTTATCCACCGCCACCGTGGCTGCTCCTCAATTCAGTGATTCCAGGACTGAGCTCCTCAAAAGTAATATATACTATAAGCTTGTCTTTCTGAAATTTTCCTTGAAATTTTTTTCCTTTTTTTTTTTTTTTAAATTAGTCAAAGAGGGAAAACTAATACGAGTATGTGTAAACATTCACAGAATACCTGAAGAAATCAGAGGAAAACAAGGTCAAGAATGACAAAGAGGTATGATTATTCATTCATACTCATACATATTTTTCAAGCAAAGATCCATTTGCATGTTGTTTCTTCAAAAATTCTCAAGTAACTTCACACGTGTGAAATTGCAAACAATATCCTCCAACACATGTAATGTAACCTCAATTATCTAGGCTAATTTCCAATTCAAACTGTTGAAATGATAGTTATTTATTTAGTAATATATCTCAAATCTTTAAATTGAGCATGCATGAGTGAATCATAACTCAATAATTTTTTTTCTTTTTTTTTTTTTTCTCTTTTCAAATTTTTCATTTAAAAAAAAAAATTCACAGAGATTGGATAGCTATTACAAGAGGAATTACAAGGATTACTTTGAATTTGTAGAAGGAGCTGCAAAAGGGAAGAAAGAGGATGAGCTAACAGAATCAGAGAAGGGTATTCTGGATTGGCTTAAGAGTAACAAATAAAGCTACCTTTTATCAATCTTTTGAATTCAATTCCATTGTCTATAAAAGAAGAATTAGGCCACATGCTTACTTCAAGGGACACTATGAGAAATGAGCTATTGATCTTCAAATTATTAATGGATATATGTCACTTTAGTTAATTGTTATTTATTGTAGAAGTTTGAACTCTTAATCTCAATCTCAAATTAACATTTTTTTGAATTAATAAGTATTAACTTGACTAAATTATTGTGGGCAATGTTACATTTCATTAGCCAACTCCAAAATCAACTAGTGTTTATAAGCACGCATAAATACATTACAAAAAATTGTTTCATAACTTAAATAATTGGATAGGAATAAACTCTTGATATCTGGTTGTTTTCACATCCACTATTTTCTTATTTAGAGTGTGATATAATTTAAATTACAAACCAAAAACTCAAATGCATGATTTGTTAGGCTAAAACTCCAAATTTACCCTCTTAAGTATGTGGGCAAGAACAAATTGATTCCCAAACTAAATAAAGGGATAAATCACATACCTTACTAATTGAGTATAATATTCCCGATGGATGACTCAATGGTTAAAAATTTGAGATTCTAAATTAGAGATCTTAAATTTACATCTTGATTTAAGTGGAGAAAGATTTAGGGGAAAGGAAGGGCTATCTCTCTCTTATATAACTTATCATTATCAGATATACTAAAAAACTAATTGAGTTTGATAAATTACCCCAAATTTCTATTATTGTTAGCACAGATAAAAAGGCAACATAAGAAAAGAAGTGACAAAAAATAATAATATTACATAATAACAATAGTTAAATTTAAGATCATTTGACCAAATTAATTAATTAATAAGATGCCTTCCACCCATGTGGTCGCCATGACCATACTTCTCATTGAGAAGTAGGTGACGATACCTTAATTCTTCAGGTCGAGTCCTTGGCTTGACATTTCCTTATCTTTTAATGCAGATACTAACACTACTAATATAATTCTTATTTTAAAAAAAATTAATAAGATAATTTATCTCTACATTTAATTTAAAAGTAAATCTGTCCTCACCTCATTTAAGGAGCGGATTAAATGGTGTGGCCTATTTGTTATTGCCTATTGCTGGGCTTTAGGCCCAAACGGGTTGGTATTTGGATTTATTGCTTCAAAGTTCTAGTGGGGGGCGGATGGTGATTAGGTGATTGGGAGCTACAAAACTCTTGTAAAACAATGACAGTAATTACGAGGAGACCGAGAGCTTAAAAAAAAATTCACCGCTAAATTTTAAACCTTGATTCATCTTAGAAATGGTTGATCTTAAAAGATGGTTGTGGCCAAGGTTTTGCAAATCATCTTATTACACCACTTAATTTATTTAGTTATCTTTTCATCAATATGGAATTTCTCTCATCCACCATTTTTATTTTTCTTTTTCTTTTTTTTGTATTTATTCTCAAGTGTCTTTGAGACTGTTTTTAAATACTTTAACATTAATATCTCTATAGTAATTTTAAGGATATACTTTTATATTGATTTGATAAATTAAAAAAATTAATTTTTATAAATATTATTTTTAAAATTTAAAT